GCAGGTGTTCTTTCTGCTTACCACCAAACCCTTTGTAAACCAGCGCATAAAAATGGAATTAACAATTTGATAGATCCAGGCAAGTGTCAGGATTCCATGCGTACTATGAAAATAACGGCAAGCTCCTTTGCTGTCACAGCTCTGAATGATTTTTATGATTTTTAAGACCCCTTGCATTGTATTTTAGATAGACTAGTTGAACAGGCTTAATAGTTAAAACAGTCATTTAAAAACCAGACTGCGTTTCAAAGTTGACTAAAAAAACCTTTCCTTCCCTTTTTTGGTATTTGCAGATGCAATATATAATATTATATAGCTTATATCACTCCCAAAACTAAGAAAAATCTAACGACACCTCAAATGTTAAAATCCTTCAAGCCGTTTAGGCTACAGAGTGTGAAGCTATAAAAGCCAAAAGGTTAATTATCATCATCAGCATTGACATCATCAGCTAACAACATACTCGTACATAGTACTCTCGAAAAAGTACCCTCCTTTTGGGGCAGTTGGGTAAAATTTTTTAAAGTGCAATTTTCAAACGTATACTTGTTTTAAAAATATACTGTATTACTTTAACTATTCATAGCGATAATTATACATAGAAGTAACCTATATTATTAAATATTATTCAGATGTTTGAACAATCTCACTATTCTTTGCTTACAAATATAAAGTCTAAAGCTACTTACACAAAAGTTTTCATCGGCGGACAATAGATGGCGCTCGATCTAGATAACGATATGTTAGCATTGTCACAATGGTGTCGGTAATGGCGCGATTGTACTGCTTGGCACAATGCTTTTAGTTGTCACCTTCAACAATGGGCTCGTTCGATATCAGCTACTACTAGTGCACTCAGTCAAACGTCCCAATCGAATGAAAATAGCCCTCAATACATAACAGTTTATATAATACGTACGAGTAAGGTTTTTGTTAATGAGCATTACATTGGATAAAAAGTTGGTGGATCACAGAAATATTTACTGTTTAAATAATATAATATGAAATCGATAAAAATAAAAATAATAAAATAATTTAATATATATAAATAGCCCTTTATCCAACTAAACAAACTAGCAACTCAGCTTTATAAATTTTTGTTTTATTGGTAAGAACTATTAAGCCAAACAAGCGGTAAAATTTAAAAATTTTGTACAACCGACTCCAATATAAATAAAATGAGATCATCGTCAATGTAGTCGAGGTCAATTTAACACGCGTTATTACGGATAACTTAAAAACTACTGGTCAGATTTTGATAAAATTTATATCGGACCACAGTAGAAGTATCAGCTATTAAATAAAAAAAAGAATCATCAAAATCGGTTCATCTATAAAAAGAACGTTCTGAGATAACACACATATACAATACAGTCGGATTGAGAACCTCCTCGTTTTTTTAAGTCGGTTGATAAGAAGGTCAACGTTTTAAAAATTCAGCTGTAAAATAATCAAAGACTAATAAAAATCATAAGCAGCAAATAATGCTCGAAGTCTATAGTATTATATAATTTTGTACGTGGTAAAGAAACGCTGCAGCTATATGATGGTTGTAGCAGGAATCGGCTGGACCAGGGAAAGACCACACTCTCACAAAATACCAGCGTAAAATAGCTTGATAGTAGCGCTTAATACTGCTGTGTTTAGTGGGAGTTTGTAAATCGAAGAGCCGTTTTACTGGAAACGGGGCATTCTATGTTAGTCTTCAGGAGTAACAAAGCATCTGCATTTTGATTCTTAGTCTAGGATCGATACAGATGTCTATGGGTCACCCTATCGGACAAACCATCAGATGGACTGTGCGTTCGTCTTTCATTCACCCTTATTTATAAATAAATAGTTATTATGAATCGCTCCATTACGGGTATGCAAGCAGAAATCGAAAGTTGATGTCAACTTTCATGCTTTCGTCCAATAGTGAATTTTAATGGAGCAATACTCGTAGTAATTACGTGTGATAATCTATAGTACGAATATTTTGTGTAGCGTTATGAGTAAAACGTTATCAAAAAAGTTATAGAATAAAATAACTGTACTCCTTCTTCGTTTAAGTTCTCAATATATTATCCTCTGGTGGTTTCATTAAATAGGCCTGTACTCCCGATCAAAGATACCTAACCTAACCCTAGACCTAACTCTTTATATGAATGTCCAAAAATATGAGATATTCTATTTCGAATATATTTAGTCATATAACGACAATCACAAAACCCAGATATTTTGTAATTGCCCCTTTGTCTTTGAAAACCCACATTTTGTGTTTTCAATATTTGGGACTTGATCCCAGGACCCGCATATTTATTAGGCAGTAGCTCAGGTCATTAAGTCATAATGTTCCCACTTCTCTTTTATAATTATTAAATCAACAAATTTTTCTTTATTACTTAATTTAAAGCCTATTTAGCTGTTACGATAATTCATCAATATCCACTAACGAACATAATTTTTAACTTAACAAATCTTATTAAATGAAATGATGAGTTAAAAATAGAATAACGATATAATATAAAAAAATTATTCAGAAACCCTTCTAATTATTTCGCTGTCAATAGTTCGTAGCTATGTAAATGAGTCATCGTCTATTTGTTAGGACTTGAATAATAAGTAATTGATAAAATCATTCTATACCACTGTCTGTGACAATTCGCACTCGAATTAGATGAAATAACAATGGTTTGGCATCACCAGATTAATCTGACCTTCAGTTACACCTCTTTACTTAGTTATATTGGCCTTAAAAAGTTGTCCCAGAGTGTTTCCAGAGATCTACTTCGATGGTCGTTAAATGGAAGTCCATCAATTTAATGTAAGTACCCGGATGACCGAGCTTTGCTCGGTTTTTTAAGTTACATTTATATACAAATTACATGAATAATAGTTTTTGATTTTATTGACATAATAGAAAAAACTGAACTGGTTATTTGAATAAAAAATCATGAGTGCAATTAGATTAATTAAAATTTTCGTATTTTTAAAAAATACTATAAAAAAGGGCTCGAAATAATAGATTTTCTCACAAAAGAAGGGAACTTGAAAAAAAAAGGAAAAAAAGTCGGACTCAAGACGGGACGCGAACCACGGAACACCGATATCACGCCTGAACAACATCCCTTCTGAGCTATTATGATCGTTAGTAACCTGACAAAATTTACCTTCTTATATTGTAGCAGTTTTTTATTGCCTGAAATCACGGACAAAGGGACATTTTCTAAAAATAAATCCTAGCTAGGTCGATTTATTGCCCCCGAAACTCTCTGGACACTAAATTTTATGAAAATCGTTGGAGCCGTTTCCGAGATTCCGATTATATATATATATATTATATATATATATATATATATATATATATATATATATATATATATATATATATATATACAGGAATTGCTCGTTTAAAGGTATAGGATGTTATATAGTTGTGATGGCACATTGCATGAAAAAATGGGAAGAAGTCATAACATACTATAGATTATACAGTGTCGTGATGTTTTATATTAACTTCTGCAAAATAATTATAATATTTAAAAAAAAATAAGGTACGTGAGGGTAATATGGTCACCTTAAGCTTTGCCGCCCTATAAACGAAAACTAGGAGGAAGACAGAGACAAAAACACAAAATCGTGTACTATAACCATTATATTAGGAAAAAAACAAACAAGCTTTATCAATAATTATGAACACTTCGAAAATTCTATAGAGTTAAAAGTTAAAGTTACAGCCTATATACGTCCCACTGCTGGGCACAGGCCTCCCCTCATTTCTGAGAGGGTTTTTAGGGCAAGGAAGTGTCCGCCGCGCTGCCCAAATGCGTGTTGGTGAACTTCACATGTCTTCGAAATATTTTTTTTCTTATTTCTCAGACATGCAGGTTTCCTCACGATGTTTTCCTTCACCACCGAGCACGTGGTAAGTCAGCACTTAAAATCTTGAAATTAACAATTTCATTGGTGCCGGCGGGGATCGAACCCGGTTTGCGAGCGTACTGTGAAATTTACAGCGAGCGCTAACCATCTGAGCTACCACGGCTCCTCGAAAATTCTATATGAAAAACTAACTACACTACACCATACTAAAATCAACTAAAATATTTTCTATAATGAAGACTGTCATAATGGCGTCGATAAAGAAGGACACTTTTGACCCTTTATTATTTGATTGACTGATGAAGAGCTATCGTATCACAAGGTCATCTATGCAAACAAGGTTGTTTTTGAGTTATAAGAAAATGAACATATTAACCGGATGACCATATTACCCTTACTAACTATATTTATAAATTAATACAAGACGTACTTATACAGGATGTTAGTGTAAACACCGTTGTCCTTGAAACCAGTGGTTTGGTTTCACTTATAGAACGTAAATTCAATGAATTTAAAAAAAACCCTATTTTTTTTTATAAAATTTAAAAAATTCTCTCCGACACTGCCCGTAAATTCATGGATACCCTATGCGCACGAATGACGTAATCACTGTAAAGATCACCGTCCGCGCTAGCTACCTACACTACATTCCAATAAAAACACAACATAACTCGTGATGTAACTTTTCCTTCATACTTTCATCCTGACAAAAATTGAGGAATTAAGGAAAAATTGAGATTTTATTAAAAAATGTTGTTATTTTTCATTGAATTTACGTTCTATAAGTGAAACCAAACTACTGGTTTCAAGGACAACGGTGTTTACACTAACACCCGTATATAATATAAATATTAAAGAGGTGGTCGTAGTCAAAGAAACGATAACTGACTGAGTTCAAGCATAGAGAGAAATAAAAGATTCTCGATTAGCAGCAACATACTTGTTCCGGCAGGTGCTGTGTAGGGCAATACCCATACGTATTTGCGTTATGTAAACAAAAAATATATCTAGTAGAAATGGCCTACTATTAAATTATTTCAGACATGTTTAATCAATAGAAAACAAATAATTAATATATAAAAATATCTGCATCAGTAAAAACTGCCGTGCGTGTAATTATCGCTAAGTATTATTTACTATTGAACTTCGGGTGATGAAACTTTTAAATACTGACCAAGAATATCTAATATGAATGATGAATGACTTGTGAGGTGCTGTGATGTGATAACGATCCCTATAAATCATTAAACTTGTCACAAAATGCTTAAACATCGCTTCGTACGCCAGACCGATGCAGGAAGTGTTGATAAATGTACTACGGAAACAAATATAGGCTGACCTATACAAGGGTTTGTATTGAATTAACCCGTCAGTAACAATCAGATATCGAGAGATGAGGGTGAGCTGATAATTTGTGGGTAAATTATCGAAGATTGTATACTTGCATGATTAACCTGTACTGTGAAACAGCACGGCAAATTAATATCGTGCATAAATAAAAAATAAAAATATAAATTTCTTTGCAACCTTCCGCCAAACAAATACAATGATGTGTCTTACCTGGATTGAAGAGCACCTCCCGCCCTCCCTCAATTGCATGCACTAACTCCGTCACCACTAATCCCAGCACCACTACTCCCAACACCACTATTCCAGGCCAGGCAGTCTACATTACCTAAAGATGCCTCGTGTAGAGGCGAAAGACGTGTCGTATTATCGTCGATGGTGTGTCTTGTCTGGAATAGTGGTGTTGGGAGTAGTGGTGCTGGGATTAGTGGTGACGGAGTTAGTGCATGCAATTGAGGGAGGGCGGGAGGTGCTCTTCAATCCAGGTAAGACACATCATTGTATTTGTTTGGCGGAAGGTTGCGAAGAAATTTATATTTTTATTTTTTATTATAATGGATTTCCGCAAAGTAACGCCTGATTCTATCAATTATAATATCGTGCAATTAAACGAGCTATCAAAATAAAAACTTAATGAAAATAAAGTAATAAATTTGCCGGTTTAAAATAATTCAATACCCTGTGGGTGTCGTAAGAGGCAATAGAAGAAAACTGAAATAGGAGATGGGTTGCAGCATCTTCCTGATAACAATTCAATTAATATAATAAAAATAATAAAAAATAATAGCCGTTGGAAACCCGCTTGCCAAGCGTGTCAACAATGGTAAATGTCTAAGAAGCTTATGAGGCAATATCTGGGGGAGGCCTTTATCAGCTGTGGACTTTTGTTGGGCTGTAACGAATAAATAAATGAATTAAATTAGCTAAATTAAAAACTACTTAATATTTGAAAACCACCTGCAAAAATTAAAACAGCGAAATTCATAATTTAAATCATTATTTTATAATCATGGGCAAAGACTTACAGAAAAAAATTTATTGCGTTAAAATGATATTCCTAAAAATTATCTTGAGTAATTACATAAACAGGTTCAATTTTTTGCCTAAATATTTATCCGTATATACGGATGCCAAAATGAATTGAATAAAATCTGGTAGACTATAATTTCTAAAATTTGTTAGTTCTGTAGTTCATTACTCTACTAGCTAATTTATTTTTAAGTGGGATATACTGAATGATTTTTTTACCGCCTGGAAACAAATAGGATGTTTTAGTACCGAAATTTTACTTCAATTTAGTAGTATTTATTGATAGATCAATTTCATAATATGTTAATGTAAAATAAAAAGAGATTATAAAATGTCAGTGCGATAGGCTTCTTTTCCGTTCACGTGTTACACCCTATTTTTTTTCTAGGCGGTAAAAAGATCACCAGTATAAAGGAGGCTACAGGTGCGTTATCTATGAGGATAAAGATGGAATGCCGCACCGTCTACCTACCTACCTGTAATTTTACGAGCTCGTCGGACTGGAACACAGCAGTGATAGTTTATGGGAGCAGTGTTGAATTCAAAATTACTGCGTGGTAAATTCAAAAAGACACTGACTTACCAAACAGCCCTCGTATTTTTGGCCTCAAGTTTCATTCGGGGTTGTAATCTAAAATAAACTTAAAAATATTTATTGGCGGTTCCTTCAAGATTCATTGAGCCAAAACGTGAATTCTTTGCAGCTGGATCGAGATTATTATGAGAGAGAGAATGCAAAAAAAAAATTGTGAAGCGGCTTGGCAATAAGGCTATTGACGCATTGTTATCTATCTGTACTGCTTATTGTATTTTAATATTTTAGCAAGATTAAATAATGATAAGATTATAAGATTTTCTCGAATGGCGGCTCGTACCGGTAGTCGAAGTGTAGGGCAGCCGTCGACTAGATGGAGTAGACACGAGATGAGACATGCAGGAAGTCGGTGGATGCAGGCGACTGAGGACCTTGCTTTGTGGTATTTTTTGCCCTACGTTCAGTAGTGGACTTGTAAAGGAATGTAATGATGAAATGATGATGATAATGATAAAAAATTCCCTATCATTCAGAATCACCCTTAACATAGGTACTTCTTAATGACCTATGACCTCGCAGCAATAATTATACTCCAATGATTCTTCTACCACACTGAACTTACAATACGTATTTTTTGACACAAATGAAATGAAGTGAATGATTTTATTCAATATAAGTTATTGTATAATACTTATTGAAAGTCATTTTTTAACTTCCCGCTAAGAAAATTGTAAATTGAAGTTATTGGTTTCATCCTGATTTTCGAAAATCGAGTTTTCATCAGATTTCGACGTTTTGAGATCCCAGGAACCTATTCTGACTAATTTCATGTGGACGTCCGTACGGATGTATGTATATATATATATATATATATATATATATATATATATATATATATATATATATATGTGTGTGTGTGTGTGTGTGTGTGTGTGTATGTAAAACTTCCATAACTTTCTTGATCGATTGAGATGCGGTTTACGGCGTTCTTAAGATCTGAATGTGGAATAGATTTGGTGATAATATGAACTTATTCGGACGAGTAGATTTTGAGAAATCTCAAAAATAAAAATTTTGAAGAACTGTTTTTTTTTTTGGAGTAACTTTATAACGGCTTTACCGATCTATTCCTAAACTAATCACCTCTTAAACTCAAAAATGACGTCGAATGCCGTTTGGAATATAAAAATCGGTTAATTCGTTCGTGAGATATCGTAGGAGAAAGAATTTGAAAAAAAAAAAACGTTTTTTTATCATTACTTCGAGATTTCACAACCGAGCATGTTTGTGTTTCTTACATATTTGTAGAACGTCATAATTTGGTGAAATTTGAAGCGCTTTGCATTTGAAATTAGAGGGAACTTCCAGGGATGGCCTGCAGGATCAACCAATTTTTTATTTACCACTGTTTCGAAAAACCTCTGTCCTGGAAAGAACCAGCAAGAAACCGATTTATACAATTTTGAATGAATTTTTATAGAACCAGCATGGTGGCGATCACCTCATTCCCTGGGATTATTTTCATTTATGTATTCTTTTATATTATAATAGCCCTTTTTGTACAATCTTCCTTGATAAAACATTTAAACTTGTTTCATGACAAATTTTATACATTTTCTGGGATTTTGTTGTAAAATGCCTTATAAATTGCCTTATAAATGAATTACTAATTCTGTGAAGTCTAGTAACTGGTATTACAAGCTTATGTTTGTTCCTAGTGTTTAAAGTATGATCTTTATTCTTATGGAAGCTATTTATGTTTTTATGTACATACATTACATTTTCATAACTATTTCATGGCGCACGACATTCGTCGACTCACAATCCTAAAAAAAAAAAAAAAAAAAAAAAAAGGTTTTGGCATGCTCTGATCACGAATCTGCTGTCCATTTTTGCGTAGGATGCACGGTTCCGGAGATGTGCAGATCAATTAACTCTTATCTAATTGATATCCGCTGCGAGCCTCAACCGTCATTAGCGCTCCATTGCCCTTATCTACTTATCTATTGTTGATTGACTACCGTCATTATCTATTATTCGTCCAGCGTGTGGGTCGGCTTATGCTATTGTATTATACTCCTTTGTTCCTATCTACAACACTAATCTGAATCATCAATAAAACACATTACCTAATTTTGTTAAAATTTTTATTTATAAAATACAAAATCTTATTACTTATTATCTATAAAATAGGAGCGAAACATCTCATCCACTAACATATCGTTGTACAATGTGTTCTCTGTAAATATACTCGTAAAACTATGCATTGAACATCCCTGAAACTTATATAGCAAATACATTAAGCAATATTCGCCACAAACTGAAGTCCTATCAACATTCCAGTTCCATCTTTTAAACACATTACCTAATTTTGTTAAAATTTTTATTTACAAAATACAAAATCTTATTACTTATTATCTATAAAATAGGAGCGAAACATCTCATCCACTAACATATCGTTGTACAATGTGTTCTCTGTAAATATACTCGTAAAACTATGCATTGAACATCCCTGAAACTTATATAGCAAATAGATTAAGCAATATTCGCCACAAACTGAAGTCCTATCAACATTCCAGTTCCATCTTTTAAACACATTACCTAATTTTGTTAAAATTTTTATTTATAAAATACAAAATCTTATTACTTATTATCTATAAAATAGGAGTGAAACATCTCATCCACTAACATATCGTTGTACAATGTGTTCTCTGTAAATATACTCGTAAAACTATGCATTGAACATCCCTGAAACTTATATAGCAAATACATTAAGCAATATTCGCCACAAACTGAAGTCCTATCAACATTCCAGTTCCATCTTTTAAACACATTACCTAATTTTGTTAAAATTTTTATTTATAAAATACAAAATCTTATTACTTATTATCTATAAAATAGGAGCGAAACATCTCATCCACTAACATATCGTTGTACAATGTGTTCTCTGTAAATATACTCGTAAAACTATGCATTGAACATCCCTGAAACTTATATAGCAAATACATACATTAAGCAATATTCGCCACAAACTGAAGTCCTATCAACATTCCAGTTCCATCTTTTAAACACATTACCTAATTTTGTTAAAATTTTTATTTATAAAATACAAAATCTTATTACTTATTATCTATAAAATAGGAGCGAAACATCTCATCCACTAACATATCGTTGTACAATGTGTTCTCTGTAAATATACTCGTAAAACTATGCATTGAACATCCCTGAAACTTATATAGCAAATACATTAAGCAATATTCGCCACAAACTGAAGTCCTATCAACATTCCAGTTCCATCTTTTACAATTTCGTACAGGTGCCCGTCCATATGAATCAAAATATTCACCGACGTCATTCGTATCGATATATAAAGCTACCCAATGTGACCCTCCTGGTTTATCATCTGTACCCAAATTGCATATTACCTAGTCAGGTCATAAATTCTATCACATGTTTAATGTAAAATAATTGAAACAAGTTTATTCATTATGTAACCATTTATATACCAAAATGAACTTAACAAAACATAGATTCTTATGACACTATAGTTTATTCAAAATGACCTCCGTAATTTTGAATACAGGCCTTCAATCTGCGCGGCCAGTCGTCTATCTCACCACGAACGAGGTCCATGTCATATCGGCGGCTGCCTTAATTAAAGATGTCTTGAGTGACTCGAAATTGGGATGAGGCTTTGAGCACGCCTTTTCCTCCAAGTGTTACCATATCTTGTAATCTAACGGATTCAAATCTGGACTGGTCTTTGTGTCGGATGAAGTCGATTTCACGCGCCGCCAGCCAGTCTTTTTTTTTTGTTTTTAAAGAATGTTACCTCCACACTAGGTTTTTCTCCTGTATCGTGGGGGCAGTTTACAAACACAAATTTCACAAGGACAAACATCCAAACTCGGAACAATTACTTTTAGGTACCGTACAAATACTTGTTCCGTGCGGGATTCGAACCCGCGACCCCCAAGCGCAGCCACTCATTGCTAAGCCACTACGCTACGGAGCTGTCAAAAGTCTTGTGTGCTCTTCGCTCTATGAGCTGACGCCGATCATCTTGTTGGAATACCCAGTGCCTATTATTGAACATGGTATGAGAAACAGGTTACACAAGGTTCGTCAGGACTGTATTTTGATACACAACTGCATTCGTTTTTAACCTTTCTCACAAAAATGAACCTCTGTTAAGCCCCAATAAGAAACTCCCAACCATACCATGAGCGAGGATGGAAAATGACCTCGTTGGACACGCGGAATACGGTTGCTCGCTTCTTCACTACTGTGTGCGTACACCTTATCATTTTGTTTGTTGTAGCTCTCTTCTACGGTAAAAATTTTTTTATCCGAAAAAAAGAATTTCCCGATATTTTTTTCCCGCGTACCGCTTCACCAAAGCGCGGCATCTCTTCAGTCTCAGATCCATTAGACGAGCATTCAAACGATGTCCTGTTTTTCTTCGATATGCCCGAAGCCCTAAGTCTTCATTTAACGCCATGGTTCTGCTTAACCCCATCTGAAGGGCCAACAGTTTCTGCTTACGTTTGGGATTTCTTTGAATTCGCACCTTTACAGCTTTTATCACTGCTGGAGTCCTAACAAATCGAGGGCGACCACTTCTTGACCTGTCATCTACACTAGAGTCTTCATTGTATCGTTTGATGGTACGATAAACGAATCTTTTGGTTATATTCAAATTTTTCAGTATATCAAAAAATTTAATTGGCGCGTAATCGCAACTGCAACACGGTCTTTTTTAAGCGTCCACTCCATATGTAAAAATGAGTAAAATTCTAAAAAGTATACAGTTTTATTTTCATGAACAATTCGAATTCAATAAACTTTTTTGTGGCCAGCATTCTAAAAGAAAAGTTTTTACTGTGTGACAATACTTATGACCTGACTAGGTATATACGTTGGTACGTGGGTGTACATGGGCAGTCTGTTAGCAGCATAAACATTATTTTCTAGACTGGGGTGAATCTTTTTCAGATGTTGTTGTACATCTAGTGTATCCATGATATTACTGCTATTAGTAGATTACTACAGTACAATCTACTCAATGACTAACATAGGAATGATCAATTATGTGATTTCTAAATATTAAATTGCATTTTTTCTGTTATACAAAACGTATTTGAGTCATCAATACACTGAATAAGACGCAACACGAAGAATGTGAGATAAGGTTGTTGACGCATAAAGTTATTATCAATTCTACTGTAGAAATTCTTTAGATTAGAATTATTACTTACTGGTACTATATAAGACCAAGCAACTGCAGTCATGGAGTTAGTGTATGGTCGTTTGACCGCAGTGTATCTATCAATAATACATTTGTGTTACTTCAACGCATCAAAGGCCATAGATGTAAGTGTTTAATCTATTGACAAACTTACTTTTCTTTCTGTTATTTTTTTACGTGTGTATGATTTTGAACGACAGGCCTGTTGGTCTAGTGGTTAGTGACCCTGACTGTTATGCCGGAGGTCGTGGGTTCGATTCCCACCCAGGACAAATGTTTGTGTGATGAGCACGATCATTTGTTCTGTGTCTGGGTGTAATTTATATATTTATGTATTTAGAAATATATAAGTATGTTTATCAGTTGTCTGGTACCCATAACACAAGCTCTGCTTAGCTTGGGACTAGATGGCGTTGTGTGATAGTTGTGGAATATTTTTATTATGGGGTATCTATATAGTTTTCTCATCTGGTTGGGGGCTATAAATATATAATTATAAATGAAAATGAAAAGACAAATATACATAAATATCAATAACATAAAATAAATATAAAAGTACATAAATAAATAAAAGCCCAACCAGATGGAGGCCCTCGGCAGGGGAGACCAAACGGCCGAGGGTTAGGGGGAAAGGGAAAGAAACCGGCGGACGATGCGGGCGGTATCGAGGAGCACCGCCTTCTGCATTTGAACCTGGAGCGGTCCGCCACGTAGTCCCAGCCGCCTCAGATGACCCGAGAGGCTGACTGGGATTAGCCCGTTTGCAGAGACGACTACAGGAATAATTTCGGTCGGCAGACCACCCCACATGTCGGTCACCTCGTGAGCCAGGTCCAGATATTTTGTTTGCTTGTCTGTTTCGGCTTTCACGAGGTTCTCGTCATACGGAATGGTAATGTCGACCAAAAATATCCTTGACTGTGCCCGGTCCATCAGCACAATATCAGGCTTATTCGCAAGAATAGTCCTGTCTGTGATGATGGCCCGGTCCCAATAGAGCCTGGCGCGATCATTTTCGAGCACGGCTTCCGGCAAGTACTTGTAATACGGCAATTTCCGATCCACGAGACCGTATTTCAGAGCGAGCTCCTGGTGTAGAATTCTGGCTACTAGGTTGTGCCTGTGCAAGTACTCAGAGTTAGAAAGCGCCGAACAACCGGAGATAACATGCCTAAGTGACTCACCGGGATGGCGACAAGCTCGACAGATGTCGACGGTGCCATCCTTTAGGATGTATCTCCGATAGTTGTTGGTCTTAATAACCTGATTCTGTATTGCACAGACAAAACCCTCGGTTTCCCCCGAAGAGATCACCAAAGCGTAGCCAGTGGAGGGAGGCTACTGTGTCTACGAAAGGCTCATGTAGAGCCTTGTAGAACCTCCCGTGGAGCTCCTTCTCCTTCCATACGGTCTCCCGGTCGGAAATGCTCTGCACTGCCGGGTCTTGCCATTGCTCGTTGGCTAAGGATAGAGGGGTAAGTCCTTTATCACAAGAAAGGACGTCCTTATAGAATGGATCATCCGATCTCGCCAGGAAGTAATCACGGAGGCTGCACACTTCGCGATTATGCATGGTGAGCGCGCTCAAGAAGCCACGACCACCATGCTTCCGCGGCAAGTACAGCCTCATTACCGACGATCTCGGATGATGCATCCTATGGGACGTCATTGTAGTGCGGACTTTTCTATCCAGGGCGTTAAGTTCAGTCTGAGTCCACCTGAGTATGCCAAAGGTATACATGAGGACAGGCATGACCCAGCCGTTATATGCGTGTGCCTTATTCACACCGGACAAAAGGCTGTTAAGCACTTTGGTCAAGCGTGCATAAAACACGTCGCAAACTGACTGTTTCATACCAGTCTCATCGATACCGATGTTCTGTGACATACCCAGGTATCGGTATGTTTCAGCCTCGGAAAGGGTCCTTAAGTTGACGGGCATAGATAAGTCTACGCCCTCAGAGTTAGCAACCCTTCCCCTTTCAACATGGAGGACCGCACACTTATCCGTCCCCAGCTCCATTCCAATGGAATTGCTAAATTCACAAGTGATGTTTAGCAATTCCATAAGATGGGAGCGACTGGAGGCGAATAACTTGAGGTCATCCATATAGAAAAGGTGGGTCACTTTTGTCCCTCCTTTCCGTAGCTGAAATCCCCTCCCGGAGCCCTCCAGTAAGGTACTGAGAGGGTTCAGAGAGAGGCAGAACCAGATTGGACTCAGACAATCGCCCTGGAAGATACCCCTTCTTATCCTTATGTGGTTCTCCGCAGCCATCATCCGCTCGCCTAGATGACAAAGGATCGTACTCCACTGTCCCATACACTGCTCGAGGAAGTCTCTAACTGTACAGTCTATCTTGTACAGCTCGAGGACTCTCTTTAGCCATGTATGGGGCACCGAGTCGAATGCCTTTCTGTAGTCTATCCAGGCGGCGGAGAAGTTCCGACGGTTGCGTTTCACCACTTTGCCAATGACCGCGTCAATGAGGAGTGGTTCCTTGGTTCCACGACCACCGCCCCGACATCCATTTTGAGCGCGCGACATCACCTGATTTGAGTCCAGGTGACAAGTGATTCTCGCGCTCAAAATGGATGTTAGTGTCTTGTATATGGTCGGTAGACACGTGATGGGGCGGTATTTGCTCGGGTCTGTGGTACCCTGGTCTTTAGGAACTAAATGAGTGATCCCAGTAGTGAAGAGGCTTGGGAGCGACTTCTGGTTGAGAGCCTCTTGAAACTGTCGGGCGAGCACAGAGTGACACACCATGAACCCCTTCAGCCAGTAGTGATGCAGCCCGTCAAGCCCCGGACTTTTCCAGTTCGGGGCCCTACGAACCGCCTCAGCTACGTCATCCGGCGTTATGATGACGGGGTCCATGGGCGTAATACCCGCACACTGACTCGCCACAACTTCCGTCCAAGGGCCCTCGCTGTGGTTTACGGGCTCTGACCACAGGCCGCGCCAGAATGCTACAGTGTCGGCCTGATTCGGTGCTGGACCCGTTCTACTTACCATTGGTCGCTCCAATGATTCATAGAGCCTCTTCTGATCACTCTGGAAGAGACGATTCTGGTTGAACCGTGTCGACCTCTCGGTATATCGCCGAATCCGCTTTCCCCAAGCAGCGATTCTCTGCTTCAGATCATCTATGCGCTCCGTCAGTTTTTGCGTTATATCCGGCTGGGACAAACTGACATTTGTCCCAGCAAACGCCATCCTGACGGTGCGCACAATTCTTGGCCTGTTGTTGCCTGATCTGAAGCATATCAGTCTGCCGATGAGAGCTCTAGCCTTTGCGATACGTTCCTCAATTCTTCTTCTCCATGCTGGGATAGCGCTACTATGGCCAGTAGCGCGTCCAGCCGTGGAAACCTTGGCGCCTATGATACGGCAGACTGCCAGCGCGGCGCCAAAAAGAATTGAGTCCGTCTCGCAAAGGTCCCGGCTGGCTTCCAAATAGGTAACCAGCATTGGGTTCAGAGCCCTCACGACAGCCCGATTCCGCTTGCTTAGGGCTATGCGGGGAAGTCGCGGTCGATTTTCGAGAGGCGTACTGCGCGTTTCCACAATCGCCTCTTCCAATGTACTCCTCATATGCTCTAATTCCAGTTCCTGGGCGACTGTTCCATCATCGTTTGAGTCAACCACAACTGGGGTATTCACGGCGGCATCCACGTTTGCGGGTTGCTCTACCATTTGTGGCGCCGTATCCTCAGCCGTAGCATTCTCATCCGACGAGGGAACAGCCTCACGTCGTAGCCGTTCGAGTTCGGCGACATCAAATATATTTGAGCGCAAGATATACCGAACTCGGTCTGCCAGGTTTTGCTCTGTGACGATTAAAGATGGCTCCAGCTCAGCAAAAAGACGATGCATCCTAGCCCGATACGCCAAACATCCAGTTTCTTCCCCTTTTGCCCTAAAGTACGCCCGCAGTGCGTTTGCATTCATTTCTTGTGACCAACGCATGCGGCGTGCTCCACCAGCGGCGGGTGCCGCTTGCTGAGTCCGAGAAGACCCAGCCGACACCAAGCCTTCTGGTGGGGATGATGGATGCGGAGGGCTGGTAGATGACCGTGCAGCTCCTCGCGCTCGGCTGGCGGCCCGCATGCTGCCGCGTCCAGCGCCAGCTCCAGACGCGCCCCGGCGACCCCCAGGCAGCGGCCCTTTGCGCACTATCTTTTTATCCATCATCCATTATTTGGGCGTCCATTAACGGGAGACGCCCAGGCCCGGCGCCGTTTCGTGTGTAGCCATAAGCACAAACGGGCCTCTGCACCCTAAATTCTGCCGCGGCACGGCGCTCACACCTCTTGCAAGGCGCTGACTGACTGCGTTGACGTAGCAGTTTTGTCACTTAACTGTTACGTCAGCGGGCGATGGGGTCGTCAATTCCCTATTTATTATTATTATTATTATTTAGTGTTAACAAATTATATTTAAATATTTTGTGTGTGTGTGTATATGATTAAGCCGTGGTAGCTCAGATGGTTAGCGCAAGCTGTAAATTTTACAGTACGTAACGCGGGTTCGATCCCCGCCGACACCAATTAAATTGTTAATTGCAATTTTAAGTGTTTATTCTATTGACACACTTACTTTTCTTTCTGATATTTTCTTACGTGTGTATGATTTAGTGTTAACAAATTATATTTAAATATTGTGTGTGTATATGATTAAGCCGTGGTAGCTCAGATGGTTAGCGCAAGCTGTAAATTTTACAGTATGTAACGCGGGTTCGATCCCCCGCCGACACCACTTAAATTGTTAATTGCAATTTTAAGTGCTGATTTACCACGTGCTCGGCGGTGAAGGAAAACATCGTGAGGAAACCTGCATGTCTGAGAAAATTTCGAAGGCATGTGAAGTTCGCCAACACGCATTGAGACCGCGCCGCGGACATTTCCTAGCCATAAATACAAAGACAATAGCAGAAAGTAAAAAGTTAAAAAATACTTTTTTAACAATGACAGTCATTAGTTGATCATTAGTGAATGTGATTCTGTTTTCTTAAATTACAGGAAGAAAAGAGCAGAAGGAAGAAATGGGGTGATGGGAAGTAATGAAGAATGAATTGTTATGTGAAGTTTGTTGGAACAAACATATTTTAGTCACGTGTAAATACTTTTAACATTTTGGTTCAAAATGACACAAAATCTAAAAAATATTAGATACATCATCGACATGGACGGATTTTACATTACATATCCTCATAAACATTTTCAATGTAGAGAAATGGCTATTCTAGACGTAAAACTATCTAATAAAAATGATTCGTTTATCGATCATTATTTGTTTCAGCCAAGTTATCCTTTCAATTATTTGTCGCCAAAAGACAAAAAAACTGTTCGTTATTGTGAAATACACGTGCACGGCATTCCATATTTTGATGTGACCGAAGAATTAAAATGTGCCTACAAACAAGAGAACATCATTCCCATATTAAATTGGTATATTAGAAATTTGTGCAAAGACGAAGTGATCGCATACAAAGGTGGTTCAACAGAAAAACAATTTTTAAAAATGTTGACGACGAATGATAGAATTTTTAATATTGAAGAATACAAATGTCCAAAATACAATGATTTGGTAAATGTCATAAATTTAAACAAACGTTATGTGTGTAATAATCATATATTTGCAAAAAATAATCACAAAATTTTACATTGTTCTTGTGACGAAGTGTGGGTTTTTTACAAGTGGTTATTACTTGAAAATAAAATTTTAAATTAATCATAAATTTTGTTTGATTTCCAAAAAACATTAGACAAAATTGGTTCAACAGAAAAACAATTTTTAAAAAATGTTGACGACGAATGATAGAATTTTTAATATTGAAGAATACAAATGTCCAAAATACAAATGTCCAAAATACAATGATTTGGTAAATGTCATAAATTTTAACAAACGTTATGTGTGTAATAATCATATATTTGCAAAAAATAATCACAAAATTTTACATTGTTCTTGTGATGAAGTGTTGGGTTTTTTACAAGTGGTTATTGCTTGAAAATAAAATTTTAAATTAATCATAAATTTTGTAACTAATAATTTAAAATTTTATTTGTATTTTGGACATTTGTATTCTTCAATATTAAAAATTCTATCATTCGTTGTCAACATTTTTAAAAATTGTTTTTCTATTGAACCAATTTTGTCTAATGTTTTTGGAAATCAAACAAAATTTATGATTAATTTAAGATTTTATTTTCAAGTAATAACCACTTGTAAAAAACACACTTCGTAAACAATGTTTTGTGATTATTTTTTGCAAATATATGATTATTACACACATAACGTTTGTTTAAATTTATGACATTTACCAAATCATTGTATTTTGGACATTTGTATTCTTCAATATTAAAAATTCTATCATTCGTCGTCAACATTTTTAAAAATTGTTTTTCTGTTGAACCAATTTTGTCTAATGTTTTTTGGAAATCAAATAAAATTTATGATTAATTTAAAATTTTATTTGTATTTTGGAATTTGTTTCAAATTTTTTCGTCGTCAACTTTTAAAAATTGTTTTTCTATTGAACCAATTTTGTCTAATGTTTTTTGGAAATCAAACAAAATTTATGATTAATTTAAAATTTTATTTTCAAGTAATAACCACTTGTAAAAAACCCACACTTCGTCACAAGAACAATGTAAAATTTTGTGATTATTTTTTGCAAATATATGATTATTACACACATAACGTTTGTTTAAATTTATGACATTTACCAAATCATTGTATTTTGGACATTTGTATTCTTCAATATTAAAAATTCTATCATTCGTCGTCAATATTTTTAAAAATTGTTTTTCTGTTGAACCAATTTTGTCTAATGTTTTTTGGAAAACAAACAAAATTTATGATTAATTTAAAATTTTATTTGTATTTTGGACATTTGTATTCTTCAATATTAAAAATTCTATCATTCGTCGTCAACATTTTTAAAAATTGTTTTTCTGTTGAACCAATTTTGTCTAATGTTTTTTGGAAATCAAACAAACTTTATGATTAATTTAAAATTTTATTTTCAAGTAATAACCACTTGTAAAAAACCCACACTTCATCACAAGAACAATGTAAAATTTTGTGATTATTTTTTGCAAATATATGATTATTACACACATAACGTTTGTTTAAATTTATGACATTTACCAAATCATTGTATTTTGGACATTTGTATTTTGGACATTTGTTTCTTCAATATTAAAAATTCTATCATTCGTCGTCAACATTTTTAAAAATTGTTTTTCTATTGAACCAATTTTGTCTAATGTTTTTTGGAAATCAAACAAAATTTATGATTAATTTAAAATTTTATTTTCAAGTAATAACCACTTGTAAAAAACCCACACTTCGTCACGAGAACAATGTAAAATTTGGTGATTACTTTTTGCAAATATATGATTATTACACACATAACGTTTGTTTAAATTTATGACATTTACCAAATCATTGTATTTTGGACATTTGTATTCTTCAATATTAAAAATTCTATCATTCGTCGTCAATATTTTTAAAAATTGTTTTTCTGTTGAACCAATTTTGTCTAATGTTTTTTGGAAATCAAACAAAATTTATGATTAATTTAAAATTTTATTTGTATTTTGGACATTTGTATTCTTCAATATTAAAAATTCTATCATTCGTCGTTAACATTTTTAAAAATTGTTTTTCTGTTTTATCAATTTTGTCTAATGTTTTTTGGAAATCAAACAAAATTTATGATTAATTTAAAATTTTATTTTCAAGTAATAACCACTTGTAAAAAACCCACACTTCCTCACAAGAACAATGTAAAATTTTGTGATTATTTTTTGCAAATATATGATTATTACACACATAACGTTTGTTTAAATTTATGACATTTACCAAATCATTGTATTTTGGACATTTGTATTCTTCAATATTAAAAATTCTATCATTCGTTGTCAACATTTTTAAAAATTGTTTTTCTGTTGAACCACCTTTGTATGCGATCACTTCGTCTTTGCACAAATTTCTAATATACCAATTTAATATGGGAATGATGTTCTCTTGTTTGTAGGCACATTTTAATTCTTCGGTCACATCAAAATATGGAATGCCGTGCACGTGTATTTCACAATAACGAACAGTTTTTTTTGTCTTTTGGCGACAAATAATTGAAAGGATAACTTGGCTGAAACAAATAATGATCGATAAACGAATCATTTTTATTAGATAGTTTTACGTCTAGAATAGCCACTTCTCTACACTGAAAATGTTTATGAGGATATGTAATGTAAAATCCGTCCATGTCGATGATGTATCTAATATTTTTTAGATTTTGTGTCATTTTGAACCAAAATGTTAAAAGTATTTACACGTGACTAAAATATGTTTGTTCCAACAAACTTCACATAACAATTCATTCTTCATTACTTCCCATCACCCCATTTCTTCCTTCTGCTCTTTTCTTCCTGTAATTTAAGAAAACAGAATCACATTCACTAATGATCAACTAATGACTGTCATTGTTAAAAAAGTATTTTTTAACTTTTTACTTTCTGCTATTGTCTTTGTATTTATGGCTAGGAAATGTCCGCGGCGCGGTCTCAATGCGTGTTGGCGAACTTCACATGCCTTCGAAATTTTCTCAGACATGCAGGTTTCCTCACGATGTTTTCCTTCACCGCCGAGCACGTGGTAAATCAGCACTTAAAATTGCAATTAACAATTTAAGTGGTGTCGGCGGGGATCGAACCCGCGTTACGTACTGTAAAATTTACAGCTTGCGCTAACCATCTGAGCTACCACGGCTTAATCATATACACACACAATATTTAAATATAATTTGTTAACACTAAATCATACACACGTAAGAAAATATCAGAAAGAAAAGTAAGTGTGTCAATAGAATAAACACTTAAAATTGCAATTAACAATTTAATTGGTGTCGGCGGGGATCGAACCCGCGTTACGTACTGTAAAATTTACAGCTTGCGCTAACCATCTGAGCTACCACGGCTTAATCATATACACACACACAAAATATTTAAATATAATTTGTTAACACTAAATAATAATAATAATAATAATAATAATAATCCACAACTATCACACAACGCCATCTAGTCCCAAGCTAAGCAGAGCTTGTGTTATGGGTACTAGACAACTGATAAACATACTTATATATTTCTAAATACATAAATAAATTACACCTAGACACAGAA